GTCAGCGTCATGATTATTATCAGGTCTCTGAGCAATGTTACTCGAGCCATTAGGAGGCTACTAGTTTCACTGGTGTATCCGCCTGACACTGATAAGCACACTGGCCAACTGCAAGAGATGAACACATTTGGGAAATTGTCTTCATACGTCCTCCTTGCTTCTTAGGATCTGAGACAGTACCAAAGGTATCCCCTCCCCGAGCAGAAGTGCGAGGGTAGGTCTGTATGCTCTGGACAACACAACTTCCATCGTGCTGCTGTGAACAAACGTGTGTTTGGCTCATAACGTATGGGAAAGGCTAATGAGAAGGAACTTGATCAGTAATTATGCACAGACAAACAGATCACCACCTAATTACTGTTGTAAAGTCTCTGCTGACTTCCCTTTCGGAGAGGTAGGGCAATGGGAAACCACCAGTAAAGYTGAGTGTATCTGTCTATAACATACACTGTATACCTTTTCTTTGGTCCTCTCCCTGGGTAGAATCAATATAAATAATTTTGTTTTTATCGCTTCCTTCAAACAGATGGGAAATTTTGTCCATTTTCTCTAAAAACTCTCAGAGTTACCTCTCCACTGACACTGGAAGTATATGGTCTTAGTTCTCTCTTCAGACAAATAATACTTCTTAGTAGAGAAAGATATTAATTAATAGTTCAAAGGGAAAAAAGAAGGGTTTAATCTAGTTGGTGTAGTGAAATTGGACTGTCCTTGAAAAATACATTCTGAAGACAGTACTCCAAGTCCCTATAACAGCAGATGTGGATGTAATCATGTAATATTCTTTCATAAGCTGCAGTGTGTCTACTGCTCTGGGTAACAGAGAAAACATTTCGACAGGCTGAATTCAGCCTTTTTGCAGGGAACTGGATGTCAAAAAGGATTCAGCAAACTTATTTTTAGAAATATGTGCTGTCACTGCCATCACTAATAACTCTGTAACGGGTGAGTTTTGAACAATGAGGTTGCACTTTACAGCTTGTCAGTTATTCTGGAAGTTCCTGTATTTAATCAAGCATTTCATGCGGGCTTGGTAACAAACTTATTTCAGAAAGTTAAGTCTAGAATACCAACCAACAATATAGAATAATATTGTGTAAAATTTCAGAAAACAGAAAGAAACAGCCATCATTTTTACAAGCTGGAACTTTTTTTCTAGAATGGAGGAATGTCATGCAGTCACACAAACCATCTGCTGAACTTAGAGCATCCAGATGCATGTCTCTGTTCACATGTTCAAAAAAGACGTTTAGTTTTTCATTATCTTGCATTAGTGAAAGACTGYCTTCTGTGTCAGTGAGTTGCCAAACATATCCTTACATTATGCTGGTTAGAATTTTTCCCATAGATTTGTAARGAAAGATTGCTTAAGTCACCTGGAATTCAGGATAACATTTGGGAAATGTCCAATAACGTCAAGATTGCTTATGGGGATACCTGCCACTACCCAAAACCTGGGCAAGGGAGGCTGAGCAAGTGCTCTGGGAGATGGTCAAAGGTGATGGATGTCTTTGATAGGAAGAATGTCTTCTAGACTGTCTGCTAGTACAAGCACAAGAGACCTTAAAGGAAGCTAATGGGAGGCAGGTTCAGAACCAAAAAGATGAGGCGACAAGAAGTAGAAGCTTCTGTTGAACCTGCAGAACCACATGATGGTGCAGGGGAAAATAGTTTACAAGGGCTCAAGGAGACTATGACCAAGTACTTGGATGACAGATCCATGGAGGACACCAAATTTACCAATCCTAGAAAGTTCAGGAAATCCCTGATCTGTAAATAGCCTGGGAGAGCATTAAGAAATACTGTGTTTGCCCTGTTCTTACATGGCCACTGTTTCAGGCAGAACACTGGACTAAATGGGTGCATGCCCTCAATCTGCACTGTTATTCTCTTGTTATGTTTTTATAGAACCACTAGTCTAAGAGTTCTCACAAAACTTCTTCTGCTCAGGAGAAGACAGCATTAATTCCAGGGAAAATCAAGAACCTAGTCCTTGTTTGATGCAGTGAAAACTTCACCACAATCACTTTCTTAAATCTCTCAAACAAAAGGCAAAGTAGAGTTGTGTTTTTACACAAAACATGTAAATATTCAGGGGTAAGCTAATGTTTTCTGCATAAGATAGCAGACTGTCTTAAGGTCTGCATTTTTTGTTTCATTTCTTGAAGAATGGACAGACATTGTCCTTGCTGTCTTCCTGACATGCATGATGTAAGCTTTTACACAGAACTCCTCATCTTGATCAGAATAAGGGAAGTGAACTAGTAAAATTGCAGTAATAGTAGCAGCTGCAGAAATCAATTAATTCGTACTGAATTTTCAAGGGCAAACGGCTGGTCACTGCACCTGCAGAGCATGAGAAACTGTCTGATGGGCTTGACTCTCAGCATCACCCTTTGAATTATATGTAGGTTTCTAACTTGAAAAATGAGGGATACTTTTGTGCTTTCTGAYGCAGATAAAGTATCATTCTCTGCAAGCACCTTTTGCCAAAAGTCTAACATGCTTTTGAGGCAGAGCAGTGCTAAGGGGTTCTGACATTTCCAAACTTTGGGTAAGATGATAAAAATCACTCCTGATGGTTTGCTCGGTATTTCTGATGTGTTAAACATGTAGTATTAGTAGTGAACTCCCAGCAAGTGGAAACCTCCTTGAAAGGCCAATCCTTACTTTAACGGAGTATTTAGAGAATGGTCTGACATTACTTTGCAGATACTGGGCAGGCTAGTCGAGAACTGTAAAGAAAACAGATAGTTTTCACCAAAGCATTTCAGAAACTGCAGTTAGTTTWGTGATAGCAAAGGGCTAAAATAACCTAAAAATGTGGAAATACAGATAAACACATAATAGAAAATGAGCTGAGGATTGTAATGCACCTAAGATACACCTACGAGGATTTGCACTGAGCAAACTTCAGAATGTGACAGCGATAGCAACTCTGAAATGTCTCCTGGCAGAGCAAGTTRATGAACAAGCTTTCTTTGAATATACTCACTTGAGCTAACAAGCTTTACCAATTTACTGACTTCACACTTGTTTCAAATGCAGTCACGGTTCAACAACATGCCTCGATTTTCTCCTCCCTCGTGGAACCCAGCACACGACAGAGATGGATGCAGAGGAACCTGAATGCGTTCTTGTACTTTGCTCTTGAGCTCAAGTACAGCAGGTTGGTGCCAATAATCTCTTCTAGAAGCGACCCAGTTCCATATGGAGAGTTTGTCATCTCTGCACAGGCTGGTAGAGTCCTCAGCTTCCAGGCTGGGTTCAAAACCAAACCTATGGTTTGAGCTGCAGATTACAGCATGCCCTGCTTATTCCTCTCCCTGCATCAGAACTGGGCTGGCAGCAAGCAGTAATTGGTTTTAAAACATATTAGACAAACTGCATTTGTCCTTTCAAATTCAGTGAACGATCTCTATCTTCTCCTGGAAATATTTTAGATTACTATGATGTAAATTATAGATGATATCCAGCTATGTGTGAATGAAACAAGAATTCTTATCTCTCAGCATCTACGCATCAGTAGAAGAAGCAAAGGAAAGCCCATTCCAAAAAACTACACATCTCCTGCCAGCTTTTCATTTATGTTGCTGGACTTAAAAGCAGAAACAAATGGAAGCCATTTGGGATTCTTCCTGAAATAGATACAAGAATTGGAACAGAATTACCAGTGGTTGCTAAATAAAGGAAAAACTGTGGTGTAGCAACTCTGAAAATATATTATCTTCACTCCAGACACTCAAGAGATTACTGCTCTAAAAAAATAAATCTGGCCTAAATCTGGCTCAGAAATGCAGTGGGCTCTAGCTTTCTTATATAAASGCCTGTAAGAGCACAAGTACAATGGGGCGAGCCATAGAAAACATACGTAAGATGCATTAAGAGTTTGCTGCAGACAGTCATCTCCGAAAAATTCTGTGCATGATCTTGCTCCCATGCCTTTTTAGAGAGGGGTTTTACATCTTGCATATGTGCCAAGCTTTCAAAGAAAGTGTTGAACCACAAAATAGGGAGGCAATGCACAGAACAGGTCATTAAATTCATACACACACATCTGACTTGCATGTATCGCTATTACTTCACACATTCAATCTACAGATGTATATAAAGTAGTCTTCAKGGCAAACCTTTTCACTAGTGAATGCAGACATAAACACACAGACCCATTCACAAACCCACTGAAATCCCAGCCTTTTAGAGATTAGTATTACAATGCCCCAGACGGCTGCTTGACTACAAGAGGAAAACCCATTTAGCAAAGACAAGAAATTCAAGGACACTGGCTAAGCAGCAACTAATTGGTTTGCAAGTATTATTTTTTAAGATCCTCAGGTACTCTTTGCAGGATCTGCGTAGCTTACATTCTACTGCCATTAGTTGTGGATGCTTAAATGCAGAAGGATACTTGCCATCTTGCACCTCTCCCACACGATGCCGATAAAATGGCTGGGCTTCCTTTCCTTATTCCAGAGGGAGGGATCAGTGCTTACGCTGTTTGCAGCCGTGTGCCTTTAAGTCATCWTTTTTTTTTTGGCTGTGCATCCAGGGCAGCTAATAGCTTTATCAAATACCCTTCACAGCAAGATGACTGTTTCCATGGAAACTGCAGAGCAATCACCCATTACTCCGGCAAAGATTTCTCTAAGCTCTCTCCCAAATACAGGTAGCTACTTTCTCTCAATCCAAAATAGAACAGAAGAAGGAATTTTACAGTTTGTGTGATAATTCACTACCTGAACTTCACATGAAGTCCAAGAGAAAAACAGGACCTGAAACACCACCCCTCCAAACCATCACACAAGGAAAACGTAAGGAAGTTTTAACACAGGAACAAATTCCGCGAGCCTGCAATTTAAAATACAGCTTTATAGAGAAGACTGGAAATTCCTTCTTTACAGTTGGAAACCGGTGAGGACTGGAGAGGGAGACAAGAGGGAGAACTAGAGCTGAAGACTAGAGATGAACGCAGAAGTTGAACCCAGAACTTGATCACTTACCTCTYTCAGCATGTTGTTTTCTTTTTCCTTCTGTTCCAGAAGGCTCTCCAAGTGGTGGACATGCATCTCTGCCTCAGCCAACCTCCTCGTTCGCTCATGATCCTCCTCGGTGGCTTTCGCCGACAGACCTTTACTCTGCAGCATCTCCAGCAGCTTTTTGATGGACTCGTCGCGTGCGTTTAAGGTCTGTTTCTGTGTCTCAATACGCAACTCCATCTCTTCTAAGGTTTTACGCAGCAGAAAAAGTTCCTTGGCCTGGCGCTCATGCTCTGCATGCAGGCGCTGGAAGTTCTCCTCTGTGAGCTCGGCCACAAAGGGCTCGCTGGTCCGAGTGCTGCTGTCTTGCTGGAACAGCTGGTTCAGGTCCCGCTGGATGCGAAGCTCGTCTTGGAGAGCCTGGATAGTCATCTGCATGTGCTAGGGGAATAAACCAACACAACAAGATGATTCTCTCCTTTGAAGAAAAAAGTAAAGAACAACACGAGTCACTTCAGCCCTCCTGGACTACCAACTGAAAGGAACCCACAACACTGACCCATGTTCTTTTGTGAAAGCAGAAAATTTCTTCATGTCCTTTTTAGAGGAGGAAAGAGGTTATTCTATATAATATTTCAAGTCTCTCCTTTTGTGCTTGGTGAAGTTTGCTCAACCTTAGAAATCTCTTACTCATGCTGCTCTCCCACTTCCACCAGCCTCAGTGAGTCACCATTTAAAATGGAAAAATGTTGGCAGGCAAAATTGGAGTGCTTCAAGTACAACAGTCTATCCTTTAAAAGCAGGAAGAATACTCTATGAGAGGTCCTAGACTACAACTACCTCCTTGATAAAGCACCGGCACCCATGACTACTAGAACTTACAAATAATCTAATAAATTAGATTTATTATTGCCGGGTCTCCGGCAGTAATATCGCTCATTGTACAGATTTCCCAGTACAGATATGACCTAGAGATTTTAGTATGTTAAGAATATAAGAACAACTATAGATAACTAGATATACACTGACCAAGGAGCACGCCATACTATGTTTTGTGTGAGGGATTTAGTAAAAAATGGAAACTACAGAAACTACTGCCTTACAAAGAGGAATATGCAGTCATTCAAATGATCAGTAGTAATTTTTACTCGTGTGAGACATTAAATCCTGTCTAACTGGCTGTAAATATAGCAGAACAATACAGGTGAAGGACAAGTATTCTGGGAAGAAAGAACTCCTCAAATTATATTTGGATAAATGTTATTTTCCTCCCTGTAAGACAGAAAGATGAAGAGAGTAAGATGTAAGTACTATGAACAAATATCTGATTAGCAGACTATCCACTGAGCTTTATGCCTCTCCATTCTTCTCAAGAGCATCAGTTGCTTACAATTTAGTCTCACCTTCATGTGAGCAGGTCTCAGAGACTGATCTAGGGGATTTCTTTTCACATTACAAATGTCAGTGTCTCTAATATAGTTATTTTAACTATTGACTAGAACTGAGACATTAGTTAAGTCAAGCTTTATATCAGTCTATTATCAAGCTTAATGGAAGAGACAACACTTTAAGGTCTGTAATCTAAAGACGGTGCCAATTGAATATGTCTGACATAAATTTGAGTACTAAATTTCAGTATATTTGTACAGAGAAACACATAAGAAGATTGGAGTTGAAGTCTTATTGCAAGAATATATTTATCAGAATTCTTACACAAATGCAATAGGTAGGAAACGCAGATATCTAACTTAAATCTGTTTTAAAGGTTTTAAGTCAGTTGGGTTGTACAGAAGAAGGCATAAAGGAGCTAATTCCAGACTGAGCACTTCCCCTGTTTTTGCATTCTGGCCTGAGAAGTTTCTCTGAGGAAAAGGTGCTGCTTTGCTATCAGCTTAGAGCTAGGTCTAAGTTGACAGACAGCCCACTAGAGAGCTGAGTCCAGCTCTCTGCTTGTCCCCAGGTGGCTCAGCTGCCAGTTTCACCTGGCTGGAAATCAAAAAAAAGTATTTATCCTGATGCAGTGCATTGTGTGTCTGTACCAGCTCATACTGGCACAGGAGGATCAGGAATGGGCAGCCACAGGGCTGGTGGAGAAAGGAGGGAACTACCTCTTCTGGCATCACCACAAAGGGAGATCAGCTTCAAGAGGCAGCTTCATGGTTGATTTAAAGTACTCTTAATTCTTTCTCATCTATTTCAATAACAAAATATGATGATTCAGGTCATCTAAAACAATAATTCAGATTGTAGAATCTGTATGGCAATTTTGCACAGGCATATTAGGTGACAGGATAATGAACTTCTTTCTAACACTACATTATGTTTATATGTTGATGGATGCTTATAGGTTCAAGATGTTTCTGTTGAATTTTTGATGATCAATTTTCTTGAAATTTGGTTCAAGATCAGCTATGTTGATCTGTAGATAGTCACACAAATATCTGTAAATGAATGAATATTCACATGAGACTGACTCTAAYCACTTGTGTGTCATATCACTTAGGGTACTAAAAGTGAAAGTAGGGRTTGACCTGCTGGAAAGCACCTCCACGGAGACGGACCTGGGAGTCCTAAGCTAACCATGAGTGAGCAGTGTGCCCTCGTGGCCAAGAAGGCCAATGGGATCCTGGCCTGCATCAGGAGGAGTGTTGCCAGCAGGTCAAGGGAGGGGATCCTGCCCCTCTGCTCAGCTCCGGTGAGGCCGCACCTGGAGTACTGTGTKCAGTTCTGGGCACCCCAGTATAGGAAGGACGTGGAGCTTCTGGAGAGGGTCCAGAGAAGGGCAACCAGGATGATTAAGGGAATGGAACATCTCTCGTATGAAGAGAGGCTGAGTGAGCTGGGCCTGTTTTCTCTGGAGAAGAGACGGCTCAGAGGGGGTATGATTAATATGTATAAGTTCAGGAAGGGAGAATGCAGGGAGGAAGGGGACAAGCTCTTCTCACTGGTGGCCAGCGATAGGACGAGGGGTAATGGCCACAAGCTRAARCAYAAGAAGTTCCGTCTCCAGGTGAGGAGCAACTTCTTTACTGTGATGGTGACAGAGCAGTGGAACAGGCTGCCCAGGGAGGTTGTGGAGTCTCCTACTCTGGAGGTCTTCAAAACCCGCCTGGATGCCACCCTGTGCCACATGCTGTAGGTGTGCCTGCTTGAGCAGGAAGGTTGGACTAGATCATCTGTAGAGGTCCCTTCCAACCTTAAATATTCCGTGAATTCTGTGAATTCTGTGAAACATCATTTATACTATCTGGGTCAAGGTAAGGTGTTTATGAGCCAAGTTGTGGTGATGAGAATGTCTTTTAAAACAGAGAAAGGGAAGAGAGTGAGACAATAATGGCAAATGAATGTGTAGCTTAATGTGTAGATGAAGCACTTAGGGATATGGTTTTGCAGGCAAGGTGTTGAGGGATCTACGGCTGGACTCGATGATCTTGAAGGTCTTTTGCAACCATAATGATTTTATGATTTCTTTTTTAAGGTGGCACTAGCAACACAAGAACACAAGTACCTTGAGGGAATCCATTTCTTTTGGAAAGAATTCCATTTCCATTTACTGTCATTTTTTCCAAACAACAGTCAAGGTAAGCGTGTCAGACAACCACAACCTCCCTGCTGTAACACTGAGGCACTGCTGCAAACACGCCAGGGTGCATCAGTACAGCCAGGGCTGCTGTGATCTGCTCCATTCACATTTGTTGATGAAGCTGGAAGAGAAAACCTTCTGAATGAAGGAAAACTTCTGCCTTACCTGTACCTAAAGGACACCAGCCAACCCAGCACTGTTAAAAGGGTAGTAAGAGAAYTGCCTAAAACAACTGATAATTTTGCAGTTCCACACATGAGTTAATTTGTGGTTGAGCAACCCAATGCATGCAGCCCAGCTGCTCTTCCAGCACCACATTCCCATGTGCTCCCACCTGCCTCTCCACAGACTGCCTCTTCAGCACTTCCTTTCTCCCCGGTGAGGAAAGAGCTGCTTCTCAACAGCCACATCATCTACAAAATGAAATGACTTCCTGTACTCAATGCTGTCTCAAAAATCAAACTTGGGTTATTTATAAGCATAAATGGAACAAATCACCATGACTGAGCTCCTCCATCAAAACTGTTGCAGTTCCAACTCATGTGAAATTTCAATCCAGGTTTCCTACCAAAACTCTGTTTTGCACAGTCCCAGAGAAATTATTGCCCCAAAACTGCCTACACAGAAAGCCCCATAAAACCACTAGGCCAAAGAACCAAAAACTTCAGAAAATATCATGTGAAATAAAATTCAACACCAGTGACAAATGTTATTTATGGGGATCTGTTAAACTAAGAGCCATGTAATACTCAACAGAAAGGGTCAGCAAGTGCCTTGAATTCAGTTTTCCAGGGGAAAAATAAGGGTCGACCTGCTGGAAAGTGGCTCTGCTGAGAGGGACCTGGGAGTCCTGGTTGACAATAAGTTAGCCATGAGGCAGCAGTGCCCTCGTGGCCAAGAAGGCCAATGGGATCCTGGCTGCATCAGGAGGAGTGTTGCCAGCAGGTCAAGGGAGGGGATCCTGCCCCTCTACTCAGCTCTGGTGAGGCCGCACTTGGAATACTGGGTGCAGTCCTGGGCTCCCCAGTATAAGAGGGATATGGAGCTTCTAGAGAGGGTCCAGTGGAGAGCGACAAAGATGATTAAGGGACTGGAACATCTCTCGTATGAGGAGGGACAGAGTGAGTTGGGCCTGTTCAGTTTAGAGATGAAAAGACTGAGAGGGGACCTGAGATATATAGATATATCTATATATATATATATGTACCTGAGGGGAGAATGTAGGGAGGAAGGGACCAAACTCTTCTCCACAATGGCCAGTGACAAGGCAAGGGATAATGGGTATAAATTAAAACAGAGGGAGTTCCATCTCTGTATGTGGAAGAACTTCCTTCCTGTGAGGGTGCCAGAGCCCTGGCACAGGCTGCCCAGGGAGGCTGTGGAGTCTCCTTCTCTGGAGATCTTCCAAACCCRCCTGGATGCCGCCCTGTGCCCCGTGCTCTGGGTGTCCCTGCTGGAGCAGGGGGGGTTGGACTAGATGATCTCTAGAGGGCCCTTCCAACCTCAACCATTCTGTGATTCTGTGAAAAATAAGGGGGGGGGGGGAAGGAATGGTCAGTACTCTGCTTATGAATTTCTACCACTGTTCTCAAAATTGCCCAGCTGGAAAGAAACAAATGTCATTGTGTGCAAGGTAGCAGGAAAACAAGCCACATGAGCATATTCTATGCTTTTGACACCCACTCCCTTCCAATATCCAAACAATATGCAAAGTGGTCCTTTTTGCCCCCTGCTTTCAAAGTGATTTTTGCAATGCCTTTTAATAGTTAGCATCATAAATGAATTGATTTTTCTCAGTTGAAATAGCTTTTATTCCACATGGTTTCAAAGAAAACAACCATTTTCCTTATAAGCAGCA